TTGTGAGAGTTTGATCGTTTGTTTGCTGCAATGGTTTGAGTAAATCTGGTCTTTAATTTCCTCCACAATTTCGAATGAGACACTTCTACCAGACACAAGAGGATTTAATGCGGCTTTTTGTGTATTCATTTAGCGGAGACACTCACTCTTCAATAGCTTTCTATATATTCTGTTTTATTCATCGATCGAGTATCTAATAAGTTGCTACAATCATGTAACTTGATCACAGTACTTTCATATCGTTTAGTAGTCCTACAGTAATATTACTAACACTGGTACAAGTATTTTTACTTCTAAATACACTGCATCCTTCCTAGGCAATGTTCAAAGAATCGTTAGGAATATAATTATTGTAATCACATGCTTTGAAATCAGACTATGGTTAATTCAATACTTAACTGACGAAATGAGATCAGTCCTTCGTTGATTTAACTACCGTTCTTAGGTAGGTAGGTTCAGCTTATTACACAGATCCTCTTCCCTTAGGTTTCATTCTATTGTAATCGCTACTGACGTTCGTCTTTGATTATTATATCACTTCAGTTGTGGCTCAATTAACTTCTCGGAGATGAATCTCCGAACCAACTTCTGCATATCTTCTTCCTCTGGGCATTCCAATTCGCTTATTAACTTTCTGATGTCATTCACAGCCTGCGTGGTCGAGCCTCTATGAACCTCTAAAGACGATTTCACCAACATGTAGACATCCAGAGGTAAAAGCACGGCGCCGACAATTCCTCCAGCTGAACTGGCCACGCGCACTCCCGCCAAACCCCCAGCTCGCGCGAAGGCACCAGCAGCAGCGAAAGCTCCAGCCCCTACCGAAGCCGCGGACGAAAACGCACGGAAAAACCTGACGGAGATATCGATTCTCTCCTCAGTTGAAGTCGTAAACTCCCTTTCGACTAGTTGGTGAAGAAATTCAAAACCATTGCTTTCTATTTCTCTTAGGTTGGAGATGAACCTCTCAAGGTTTTCCAATTTTTCTTGCAGCTGCGTGCAAGCTTCCTTGTCCTCGTCAATGGCTCTTTGAACCTCTTTCAATCCTAGCTTTGCGAGGGTTATCTCGATTACTTTGGAAACAGACATCACCAGGCCTCCTGCGCCTCCGATTCCGGCACCAACAAGGGAGACCACAATCCCGGCCCCAAAAGTGAAGGGCGCGGCGATCAGGCCCGCTATCGCTAGGATTCCTCCTAGGGTGCTCGCGGAAGCACCTGCTATGGTCGATTTACTGACGTTTATGTGTTGCTCGTGTAATTTGGCTGCTAGTTCCTCCAGTTTTTCCAAAGTGCGTTTCCTCTTTGGTATCCACCGCCCGAAGGAGCTAACCACGTCTTCCTCTAACCGGCCTAATTCCCGGAATCTCATTATGACTTGGGCATGACTTTCTTCTGACAATAAAATTCTGCAAGAACCATACTCCTCATAAGAAACATATCCCGAATTAGAGAGAGCTTCCTTTCCCTGCCAGTTTAAAGATTCAAAAAGCAGTTATTAAAA